ATATATATTTATTAATATATAATATATATAAATATAAATAAAAAAATAAAATAAATATTTAAAAATAAAATAAATATTTTTATTTATTTTATTTTTAAATATTTATTTTATTTTTTTATTTATTTTTTTGTGTTTTCCAACGGTTATTCCAACGGATCGCCATTGGAAATAATTTTAAATTCCAACGGACGGCCGTTGTAAATACCGTTGTAACATTTCGACGGCGTTTCCAACGGATATTCTAACGGATATCCGTGGCAAATACCGTTGTAAATCCGTTGAAAAATTTCTAACGGATATTCTAACGGTCCCGTCGGAAAGTAGCCACGGATGTCCGTTGGAATTTCCGTTGATATATCCCGACGAACAAATCCGTTGGAATTCCGTTGAAAATATACCACGGAAAAACCGTTGGAAATCTGTTGAAATATTCCAACAGATGAAGGCGTTGGAATTCCGTTTGGAATTTGCCACGGAATTCCAACGGATCTGCGTTTCTAACGACTGAAATCCGTTGGAAAAGTTGAATTCCAACGGATTTTCGGCCATTTCCAACGGATTTGCCGGTTGGAATTTGAGGTTTTTTTGTAGTGAAAGAGAATGAGGTTATCTGCAAAAAAAAAAAAAAGATGAGTTAGAATGGGAGTTACTCTTTTGATTTGAAACCCCCTCCATCTGTTATCCTTAACACTTTGTTTGATGAGGTGAGTCAACCTCTCCATACAAAGGACAAATATATATAGGGAGAGTGGACATCCTTGGCGAATGCCCCTTGTAGGAGTAAAACTTCCGGTTTGTTCCCCATTCCAAATTATTCTCATGGAAGATAATCAACACATTGCATAATAACCTATATAAGGAGTGGAGGTAATCCTATTTCTGTTAGGGTTTCCTCAATAAAACTCCAACGAATTCTATCATACGCCTTTAAGAGATCCACTTTAATTGTCATAAAGCCCCTCTTACCCTTAAATCTGTCCATGGAATGTATAACTTCTTGCACCACAATAATGTTATCCGTTATATGTCGCCCTGGAATGAAGCTATTTTGCTCTGGTCCTATGATATCCGGGAGTAAAATCTTTAAACGGTTGACTACAAGTTTCGTTAGCACTTTATACACCACGTTGCATAGACTTATGGGCCGAAATTGAGTAATAATTTCCGGAGACTGCACCTTCGGAATAAGGACTAGGAGCATGCTGTTGATTTCTGGATCCATCTTTTCCCACCAAGTCCCACTGACTTTGGAGAAAAAGAGGGTTTAGTTCGTCAGGGCCAGGGCTCATTGCAAAAAGGGCTTCTCGCACCTCTGATAACGAGGGAGGTAGTGCAGTCTCTGTTCCAGATTAGGAAACATTCCCCTGATACAGTTGTGATTCCCATGACCTTCCTCCGCATAAAGTTGTTCAAAATAAGAAACAGCAAGTTCCTTCAGTTCATCGTTGTAGACCCAAAACCCCTTGGTCATTTTTAAGGCAGTGAATGGACACTGTTTTTCAATGGAAGAATGTAGTATTTCTGTCTCCACTGTTTATCCGCCCAGCCTTTGATCTTTGGATTCCAGCCTTGTGCACATAGTTTTGAAACCAGAAGTTTCACAACCACCGTGTTCCTCCACGGCTTCGTTATACGATTCCGGAATTCCTCCGACAGGGAAATCTTGAAATCGTGGGAGCTTTTTGATACAGAAATATCTTCCTCCTCCAGTATCGTGACTGTGAGGAAAAATGGGTCTTCCAAATCGCCCGACCCTTGAAGTACTTTGTCCCTGAAAGAGGTGCCTCCCGCTGCCCAGCTGGTGGCTGATGTTCCTCTTCCCTCATCCGAACCTTTTTTGTTTGTCTCGTTTCCGGCTCCGATCTGTCAAGGCCTTGCGGCGGCTAAGTGCTCATCGCAGGGAGGAGCTAGAGTTTCGATCCAACGGGGCTTTTTTTTTTTTTTTTTTTTTTTTTTTCTAGGCTTTGAACGGAGATGTCTTTTATTTTGGGTTTTTGGTTTTAGTTTTTAGATTTTGGTTTTTAGTTTTTGGTTTTTGGCTTTTGGATTTTATAATATTTGAAAACTCAAAAAAAGTAGCTTTTAGTTTTTCATTGATTTTTTCACTAAAATGGCTTTCCAAGTTTTTAGAAAAAGTAATTTTGTAAAAACTTGAATGTTGTTTTTTTTTTGTTTTTGGATTCTAAAAACTCTAAAAACTCCTACCATTCAAGTCCTTAGTTTGGTGATGCTGAAATGATATCCGACGTGCCAAATTTGACGAAATCACGTCAATGTGGACGATTGAAAATTTGATCGGATTTTTAGACGACCGAAAACTCGAAAAAAATTCAAAAGTTTAATATTTATTTTGTAAGAATTTAATAGTTGGTTGTAAATATAAAGTTCTATAAGAAAAACTTTAAATTATAAATTTAATAAATAATAATCAAAATATGTTTTTATTTGGCTATTCGGATATTCAGTAAAATATAAAATTTAACATTTTTGTCTTAATATTAGTGTTAGAATATCACATCTTAATATAATTTTTTATATCCAGTGTTTTAAACACGAAGAAAATCTCAAAATAATAAGTTTTTGGGTGTAATTATTGAAACTAGTAAGAGCTATTTTTTTACATATTATAAAATTAGTTAATTACAATAAATAGAAAACTTTTATTCACAAAATATTAAAAGTTCCCTGTTAAATCTGCTAACTACAATTAAACCAACATTCCTAATTTAAAAAAAAAAATACCAATTGCACTCTCTTTCTTATTTAATTTTTTCATAAATGGCATATAAAATTCTCCAACATCAAAATCAAAATGCATTATATTATTCCAACCGCAAAACATAGCATGACACGGAAAAAAAAAAGAAAAAAGAAAAAAAAAGATAAAAACCGTAGAGTGGCAAGACCAAAAATAGCCAGCCTTTACTTTGTTTTTAGCTCTTAACACTAAAAGCCCGCCCTAGTGTGTGTTCTCTTCAAGTTCGGACATTGAAGTACACATTGTAATACTCATCTCTAAAATTGAACAATGGCGACAACACAAAGTTCCTCTCTTCCCCTGCCATCACAAAACTCATCGGATGAAACTGAGTGATCCCTTCCTTCATCAAAAAACTGGCGGCTGTTCGATTGAACTTCTCATCAGATACATCAGAATCGCATTCAATCTTCAGTTTCTTGCCTGATTTAGGGTTTGAATCCGTGTAAAGAAAGCAACCCTTCTTTCCCTCTAGTGCCAATGACACAGTCCCTTCCTTTCCATCCACGCCAGGGACTAGTCGGAACCGGGACGCTTCCTTGTCTGAAGAAGCAGAGTCTCGAACCACGATGGTGCTAGAGTCATTTGATTGCATCAGAAGCATGCCCGGGAAATCAAATGGCTCAAGCATGACTTGCTTCCCGATCAGCTCATCTGGACCCGAGATGGGATTAGAGTTTACGAGCCTGAAAGTGGCTTGAACCGCCTCTTGTGTCCCGGGCTCGGGCGGCTCTTGCAGTGAGATGGTTTGGTTGATGTTCATCAACACAAAACTGGAGTGACCAGATTGTTGTGTAAGGGTGACAAGGTACTTGTTTTGGGAATCCGGAATCGGGGTTATCCATTTTCCGGCTTTCCCTCGAGTTCTGTTGTAGCTCCACTCGTTGGTTGTGTGGCCGGCTAGCAAGTAAGGCCCGTAAAGTACGGCCTGAAGAGACGAGTACTCGGGCCGATCATCTGAAGTTGCATACAAAGGAAGAGTATTGGTTTATGATGAATGGAAACAACACGATAGTGTACTGACATCGTAATAGCATTTTACCTTTTATAGCTTCGGTTCTGACACTCAATGGTAAGTCCATGCTTATTTGATCGCCAGATTTCCATTTTCGTGTGATCGATAGGAAATTTCCTATAGAGGAAAGGTAGCTTAGAACATTCTAATCTTGTAGGAATCAGAATTATCACCGACCAATTTGCTACGTGAAGAAGTGAATGTTCAATAACCTGGAGTTGGCACTTCTAGAGACTGCCCATTTAAAGATGCTTTGATGCCATCAGAATCCGTCCATACCGGAATTCTTAGATTCAGCGTTGATTTTATGGTTGTCTCCTGCAAGAACAAGTGACAGAAACAGAGGTTTTACATGAGCCACCAAGAACAACAAACAGGCAGAAAGATCGAGGACTCATTCGGCTAATACGCGTTACCTCCTTGGAAGAGAATGTGAATGTGATATGAAGATACGGGTCCCAAGAAACAACTGGCTTAACTTTCTGAGAAACTGAAACACCGACGGATCTCCATTCGAGCGAGCTTGATATGTATTGGATGACAAAAAGGCTGGGAGATCCTCTCTCTTCTTCGAAATAAATGGAATCTCCTAATTTAGAGAATGATTCAATCCCTGTGAAACAGAACAAGAATGGATCAAGGTTCTGCTCAAAAGAAAGGGGTCATAGTGGTAAGATTATTACCAGTGCCATAGCAACACCAAAAAGATGTGAAGGGTTTTCCCCAACCACGGCCAGACACGGCCTTGGAAACGCCATGACCCAACGGAAGCATGTAGATCATGATCCCCGGCTCTGTTCCTCGTTGAATTCCGAGCACCCCGTTTGTTAAAGCGCGCTCGTAATAGTCTGCATAGCCCACCTCTTTTGTCCACCTGAACAGATTCCGAGAGACCTGAAGTAACAAACTTTGAAGATTATGTCACAAAGATTCAATCTTTTTCCATATGAAACATGGGTTTGGAAGTTTTGGTCTTAATACCTTGAGCATGTTATAAGTCGTACATGACTCTTCGTTTTCGGTTTGCAGGGTGTCTGCCAGTCGCTTCGGATCCTTCCTAATTTCGCATATATACGTAGGAGGTAAGACCATCAAAAGCTTGTTAAGTTGCAATAAACTCCCAAGTTTTTGGCTTAATGTTAAGTACCAGAACTCGGAGACTGATGTCCCTCCGGTTGCGTAGCTGTGAGAAGAGTTGACAATGTCCATAAAAAACGTCGATATTTCCTACAAAACCCGGAATTCAGATATGCAAGAATCTGACATATTCGACAAAAACTACAGTAAACCAGTAAGGATCCAACACCTTATATAGCGGATCACCAGTGATTTCATAGCGAAGTTGCGATCCAATTACGATAGGAATATGTGTGTTCGAGTGGAAGCCGGATATATCATCAGCCTACAAGAAGAAGAGGAGAAAAAATGCGGAAAAATTTTGTTTAACACTTGACAATTCAAACATAATCATCTGGTAATGCTATACCTGGACAGCAAGCACCCCGAGAAAGCAAGGTTTGTCAAAGAGGTGTGCGAGCAACGAGTATTTGGAGTTTCCCTGCATATACGAACGATATGAAACCAAGAGACAACACTTCCAGATTCGGTTTGAAAACTTTGAGAAATTTTCACCCACAGTGATTCTGAATAACTGATACAGAACATCGTTCATTCCACCAGTCTCCTCATTCAATGACGTCCAGTGTCTTTCAACGCTGTACATCTTTATGACGTTACGAACTCGGTCATAGAAGTAATCCGCCATCCATGTAGCCATTTTCAGAGCTTGACTGCTACCGGCAAGCTTGTATTGATCCACCAGCCCAGCTAAAATCTGTCAAATTTCAGACAGAGTTGAACCTTTGCAAGCGTGAGCATTGTTGTTATCTTAAAACATGCTGGCTTTTTTTGTTACCTTGTGAATTGTGTAGTAGGGAGCCCAGACGGGCTGTACAGCCTCGAACCTGTCGAAAAACTCGGTAGGGAAAATCGCAGTCCAGAAGATGTTTGTAAACATCTATTT